GCAGTCAGAAGGAGATTTCACCCAATTCCGAGATTACAGTCAAAAGCCCATCTATCTCTTCACTCTGCAGGGTGCACAGAACTGGCTGTACTAATCCATCACTGCCTCATGGAGTTTAACTACAAGGTCTGGCTCCTCTCTGTTCTCTCTTCCTCTGAAACATAAATGGAGCACCATGTTTTTAGCAGTCTTACTGGTGGGCAACTTGACAATCTATTGTTGCTATCCTTCCATTACGCAGTTCCTGTCTAGTCAGCTTCTGGGCCAGTTTCTAACAGCCAGGTCATGGGCTGTTTCAAATAAAGGCAAATAGAAACAATCTGATGACTCATCAACACCCCCTGGTTGAGCTCCTGAGTTATGGTGGAGTCGGTTGGAGCTTTCCCTTGTCAGAATTTTAAGCAACTGATTTCAAAGTTTAGGGACCAGATTCTTTCCTAACTGTGCTTCTGGGACTCCTGCCAAGAGGAAAGTGATGTCAAGCAGTAGCTGGTGCCTCAAAGCAGTGCCTGTGTGGTCTTCACATTTTCCCATTTGAAACCTCACTCGAGTGTGGGACTGGCCTGCCTGGCCCTCAGCCTTCTGGATGCATATGTGAGGGTAAACCACTATTTTATTCCATCCATTTGAATTAATACTGGGAGGTCTGGAAGGTACAAGGAGTGTGAGACAATGCAGAGGCTGGCATTACAAGATAAGAGTAAAATGCTGACTGTGAGCCCACAACAAAAAAAGCAAAGCACAATATTAAGGACAGACATAAAGCCAACGGTCATGCCCTAAGGCAAAAGCAGAGATAAGACGCAAAAGCCAGTTCAGGAAAATCAAAGACCTTGAACAGACACAAACTATGTTTTTAGCAATGACTATATTTACCCTGGGTAAGCAAACATGTCCAAGAGCTGACTTAGTCAAAAGACAATGTTAAAGTTTCACTAACATTCACTCAAAAAACACTCCACTCCACCTTGCTACCTTTGGGTTGCTTCGGACTCAGCAACCCTCCAGGAGGTTGTCGGGGCTATAAAAAATCGTACTGGTTCTTCACACAATCATTTAGAGACATTTTACTTTTTAAAGCTAATTGCCATTGACTAATATAATTAATTCATTACAATGCCTAATAAGGCTGTCAATCTTACAGATGAAAAGACTGCTCATCTGCTAATCTTTCTCCAAGGAGCCTCTGGTGGATTCTAACAGCCATGAGAAGCAGCTTTTTTGTGCTTCTGGTATGTGGTTGTGACAGGCTGTGCTGTGGTTAGCAGATCCACACTTGACTCCCTCTATCATCGGAGCTTCTTAGCATTCGCTAGTACAAGAGAATCATGATTTTTAAAACAATGAAGGAAACTCTCCCCTGTGTGATTAACTGCTTCTGTAAACCCACTGGAGGGTCAACTATGGGTTGATTCTGACTCTACAGTACACAATAACAACTTGTAGACAACTAGAAACCAATAAAAGATGTGGTGTTTTGTTATGTATTATCAAGTCAGAACCGACTCATAACTGACCCTCCAGCAGGTTTTTAGAGGCAGTAAATCACATAGGAAGATACTGCCCATCTCTTTTCTGCAGAGCAGGGGGTGGATTAGAAATGTGTGCCTTTGGGTTGGCAGCACAACTCCCTACCACTAAGCCACCAGAGCTCCCTACAGAAAAGATGAGAAGGAGTAGATCTAATTATTTCATTTAAGGTACCATCAAATTTTATAACTAGGAACATGTACTACTTTCATGATCAGAAAGGAAAAGATAAAGGTTATTTGTTATAAAATAATGAAAAAAATGGTAATGCTTTGGACCATGTTTTCTATCCATGTGGGGTAAACTTAGCATACTGTTTATTCTGGAAGTGGTATTTTTCTGGCCAAGAGCATTTTTGTGTTCATATAATGGAACCCTGAGCCTAACTCATATTAAAATATATATACATATACACACATATACATATATAAAATATATATATGTTGTTGTTAAGTGCCATCAAGTTGCAGGTGACTCATAGCTACCCTATGAACAAAAGACCTGGGCACAGGTATAATGTTCATCTTTTGTCCAGGTTCATAGGGTTTCCAGAGGCAAGCTATTATGGAAGTGGATGCCACTCCATAAAATATATATATATATACACACATATGGGTGTAAAATCATATATATACACATATAATTAATATATCATATATATACACACATATGTATACACACACACACATATATATATATATACATCAAAACCATTGCCCATTGCCATCATGTCTTCTTTAACTCATAGTGATCCTATAGGACAGGAGGTTCTAAGTTCCTAAGACTTGCATATTCACAAAAGGAGACTATTTGCGCTGCAATCCCAAAGGCATAGTTCAAATCCACCAGATGCTCCCTTGGAGGAGGGGAGATCTCCTCCTGTGCCAGTCGGATCTGACTCAATGGTACACAACAAGGAAAAAAAGAAAAAGAGCATAAGACCTAAAAGCAGACTATTGCATCTTTCTCCCATGGAATAGCTGGTGGGTTTTAAACATGGTCCTTTTCATTAGTGGCCACGTACTTCACCAACTGCACCACCAGGTTTCCTAACTTACACACAGACCTAGCTAAAACAAGTAAAGGAAAGATGTCCTTGTACTTTGCACAGAGGTGCTTTTGGCTAACAAAAAAGTTTCATCCAATGCAGGGTTCTCCTGGAAGACTACAAACCACACTAGTTCCTGTCCCCAACTCATCAAAATCTCTGACTTGGAAAATATACCAGTTCAGCAGTTCAAAAATCAGCAGTGGCACATGGTTGTGTAATTCACACGTATCCGAGGTTTGTTATGTACATTATCCTTCAAGCACTTTAAATGATTAATTCATTTAATCTTCCTGATAACCCTGGTCTCTCCTCTGTAAAACTAAGAGAACCAAAGTGCACAGAGATGATGTCTCTTTGGTAGTTTCCCACCGTTGTGGCAAACTGCCACAAAACTGGGGGTTAACATAACACAGTTGTTCTCAAACAATTCTGAGTGGTCAGAAGTCAAAGATCAGTTTTACTGGGCAAAAGTCAAGACACCAGCTGAAAGATTAAAATTAAAATGGCTCCTATAGCTCTCAGCTAGTCTTTCACAGCAAGGCCTGCCTCTCTTCCTTCCTCCTCTCCACAGAATCATCTCCTTGCATTTTCTAGCTTCCAGACAAATCTCTCTTGGAAGAAGGGCAGCCAGCATGCTGCCAAATCACAGATGGTAAGGCTTCATTTTCGGCATATCACCAGGAGACGCCAGTCTCTGGACAAGAACATCAGGCTTGCTAAAGGTTAAGGAACATCCACCATTGGACCTTGCCCAGGATTTTATCAAACAAAACGTATGAGAATATAAGAAACACAGTGTGAATGAAGAATAGTGTGAAACACAAAATATATATAAACTTTGTAAGCAAACCAATTTTTTTTAAAAAAGTAAAAATAAAATGTTAAAGGACAGTAAAGAAAGACTTTCAATCAGATGGACTGACATAGTGAATGCAATCATGGCTGAAGCACAGCAAAGATTTCAAGCCAAGCACAAGAGTAGGCAGAGTTTCATTCTGTTGTACAGAATTGCTATGAGTCAGTCAACTCAATGGCACCTAATAACAGAACTGCATTCTCTGGCAATGGCTCCTAACTGTATCTTCAGACACAGAAGGTGTCTTCTTTGTCTTCTGTGACTAGGTCACTTGTGTTTATATTTAGGATCCAGCAGGACAATCTTAACTTCTTTAACATAATCATTATCTGTAAAGCACCCTTTGCATTATAAAGAAACTTCCACAGGTTGCAGGGATTCACTAAAGAGTCCTGGCAGCATAGAGGCTGCCAGGCTGCTAACCAAAAGGTCATTAGTTCAAATACACCAGGTGCTCTAAGGAAGAACGAAGAGCAGTCTCCGCTCATTAAGATTCACAGCCTGGAGAGCCAATTGAGAGTCATTGTGCATAGAATTTAACTCAATAGCAGTGGGATTCATTATTTTGTATTAGTTTGTATCTGGGTAATTTTGGGGGTCACTATCCAGCCTCCTGGATTCCCCACTAACTATGGGGCTATAGTCCTACTTAAAGCTCCGACAGAAGGCCAAAAAGGATATGGGAAGAAGAGGGGCAAACCTAGTGATCTTTCTGGTCTTATATTTTATATTCTTCCCACTTTAAGAGCCTTGCACCCAGAGGAGCTCTGGTGGCCTAGTGGCAAGGAGCTGCAACTACAATCCCAGTGGCTCACGGTTCGAATCCACCAGATGCTCTGCCGGGAAAAGGAGGGACAATCTCCTCCTGTACCAGTCAGATCTGATTTGACGGCACACTCACACACACACACACACACACAAAAAAAAAAAAAGAGCCTTGCACCAGAGCCTGTTATCAGCCCCAGTGGGCACTTCTGCCCACATCACATCACAAGTTAGTGTAGTCCAGCCAGCCAGCCCAGCTCCAATAACAGTTAACCCCAGCTGCCCAAAAGGCCTCATAACCTGACTAAAGGGCTTTAAGGACAATGAGCTTCCTGTCCTGTAAAAGAGAGGCTAGACTGAGGTATGAACAGAGTGTACCATCCCCTCCCCAGGTATATCTCCCAAAATATATGTGGCAGGGGGTGAGAGGAAAGGAGCATAGATGTTTCTTTCTCGTTCTGTGGGCTCAATTGTAAATGCAAGTAACATTCATGGCAAAAATGTGCTCATAGCTTGAGTTTATGCTACATCAGGCTGGAATTCCAATCTATTTTAAATTACCCATTTACAGAATGGCAAATATAAAAAAAGACATTTTCCTAAAAATATGGCAAAGAGCTAAGCATCACAGCCCTGAAGGAGCTCCTGTTTACATTTCAGGAAGGAGCCAGACATTAAACTGTTCATATCACGTTTATTGATCTCATTACAATAACAGATAATCTTGCTCTGACCTGTAATAGGTCCAAGAGATATTCTTACTTTTTTTCCTGTAACTGACAACAAGGACATACTTACATCTGCCCAGATTTTCCATGCTTCTCTTGCTTTCTTTACAGTTTCTTCGTAGTCAGCTACACTGGCCTAAGAATTAGATGGAGGTAAAGGGAGAAGAGAAGTGATGATCTATGTCATAAGGCAAATCCCCCATTTTCTAGTGAATTACTGACACAAGGTGACCCTCCTTTGGATGTCACGGCTATATAGCTGATGGGAGGATAGGAGTGGCCACTGAATTTGAGCTGTTGACCTTCAGTTAGCAATGTAAACCTATTAAGAACTATGCTATCAAGGGATCCTTGATGATCTCAGAGAAAACAAATTAATTTTTTTGAAATGGGAACAAGATAGCCTCTGGATATTCCTAACATTTCTGATTTTCAGGCTATGTTTCCAAAGGAGCAATATGGTAGCTTGTTGTTGTTATTGTTGTTGTTGTTGTTGTTATTGTTATGCGCCATAAAGCCACCTGTGACTCATAGGTACCCTATGTACATACAAAAGCTCTGAACCCTGCTCTATCCTGAGCCATTAACCCAGTTACTGTGTCAATCCATCTCATCTGGAGTCTTCCTCTCCTGTGCTGTCCCTTCATCCTTCCAAGCATTATATCGTTTTCCAGGGACTGGTCCCTCCTGGCCTCATGCCCAAAGTATGTGAGACAGGGTTTCAAAATCCTTGCTCCCAAGGAGAAACTTGGTTTCAGCCTCTCTAAGACAGATCTGTTTGTTCTCTTGGTGGGCCATAGTATGTTCAATACCCTTCTCCAGCACCACAACTCAAAGGCATCGATTCTTCTGTCATCCTTAGTCACTATCCAGTTCTCTGACTCACAGCAAGTAACTGTGAAGATCATGGCCTGAATCAGGTGCACGGTTGACTTAGTATTAAATTGTGCTGTCACTCAAAGGTTCTTGGTTAGTGTGCCCATCTCTCCTAGGGTGTAGTTGGTGAACTCTTTTTTCCATTGATATATTGCTTCTAGACAGTCAGCTATGACTCATTCCTGATTGGCCAGTACATAATAACAACATGTTTCCAAAAATTCACTAGGCCCCGTAAGACAGGCTAGAATCCTGTTGTTCGTCAAAGGCAGTTTTTGAGGGAGCTCTGGTGGCCTAGTACCAAGAAGTTGCACTGCAATTCCAGAGGCGCACGGTCAGATCCACCAGATGCTCTGCTGGAGAAGGAGGGGCAATCTCCTTCTATACCAGTCAGATCTGATTTGACGGTACACACACAAAAAAATAGTAAAATAAAATAAAAAATAAATAAAGGCAGTTTTTGAGAGGACAATTCCAGAGCTGCATCTGGGTGTGAAGCTAGAGAGTGTACACATCTAACTAACTACCGTCATGGAGTCGATTCCAGCTCACAGCAACCGTACATCAGGGTTCAGGGCTATAATGGTGGAACTGCTCATCTTTTCCCAGGAGAGCTGCTGGCAGATTTTAACCATCAGAGAAGCTCAGCTTTTAGGCTAACAGTGCAGCACACTATGGACTATGTCGCCAGTTGGTGTTGCTCTCAGGTGCTTTCAAGTTGACTATGACTTACAACGACCGTTTGAACAACAGACCTGAATCTTGCCCTATCTTGCAACAATCACGTCACTTCTGATGTGCTCTAGCTCATTCAATTCATGCTGTTGAGGGTCTTCCTCTCTTTTGCTAGCTCCCCACCTTTCCCAACATGATGTCTTTTTCCAAAGACTGGTTCCTCCTGACAACACACCCAGAGTATGGAAGATTAAGTTTCACTACCTCTAAAGTGCGCCCTGGTGAGCTTCCTCCGAGACAGACTTGTTTGCTCTTTGGGCAGTCCATAAGCTATCCAGTGCTCATCTCCAACACCACAATTCAAAGGCATCGATGCTTTTTCTGTCATCTTTAATCACTGCTTAACTTTCAGACACATAGGAAGTAACTGAGGAGATCATTGCTTGACTCAGGCACACCTCAAGTTTTTAAATTCACATCACTGGCTACTCTTAGGCACTTTAGAGGGGACATTGACAACTGAATTTCCCATGCCAATATGCCTTTTGACCTCTTGACCATTGTTCCCATGGATGTTGACTGTGGATCCAAGAAAGATGATATCATTGATGACTTCAATCTTTTCTCCATTTATCATGTTGGTATCTATTGGTCCAGTGGTGAGGATTTTCATTTTCTTGATTTTGAAATGTAGTTCCTATTAAAGGCTGTAGTTTTTTATCTTCTGTAGCAAGGCTTTCAAAGTCTCTTCACTTTCTTGAAGCAAGGCCATGTCATCTGCATTAACACAGGTTGCTAGTGAGTCTTCCTCCAATCCTGAGGTCACATTCTTCTTCATATACTTAAGCTTCTCAAATTATTTGCTTAACATACAGATTGAATTGGTATGGAGAAAGGAGATATATATATATATATATATATAAAACTTAAGAGCACAGCTTTTCTGATTTTATTTTTTTATTGAAATTTTGATGAAAGTTTAGAGAACCTGAATTTCCATTCATTCATTGTTGCATTTTCCTCCATGCCCACCCCTCCCCCGAGTTTGCTTTTCTTTTTGAAAAGAAATCTTTCATTGTTATACAATCCTGCCCCCCACCCCAAGTCCACATTACAATGCAGCTCTTATTCTGGACTCTTGCCATGCAAATAATATCTAATCATATATCCCTTTTAAAGAGTTCTCTCCCTCATCTATTTCAATGCAGTATTATTTATCCTCTCTTTTCTTAGTTCCCCCCCAAACCCAATGTCACGTTTTACAACAGTGCCACTATGCAGGGGAGCTCAGGTGGCCTAGTGGCAAGAAGCTGCAACTACAGTCCCAGAGGTGCACGGTTCGAATCCACCAGATGCTCTGCCGGGGAAGGATGGGCAATTTCCTCCTGTACCAGTCAGATCTGATTTGACGGTAAAAGCACACAAAAATAATAAAAATAAAAATAAAACAAAAAAACAACAACAGTGGCACTATGCAATATTTGTCACCATTTTGTATAATATTTCATGAGTTCCTTGTTTTTCAATGCAGTGGAGTATTCCATTTTTGTGAATGTATCACAGCTTCTCTAGCCATTCACTTGTTGATGGGCACCTGGGGTGTTTCCAACTCTTTGTTATTGTGAACAAAGCAGCAATAAACATAGGTGTACACTTTTCCCAATTTTAAACCATGCAGTGTTCCCTTGTTCAGTTCAGACAACATCACCAAAGTGTACTAGAAAAGCAGAACTTTGGACTCCAAACTAGATTTATAGAATCAGAATCTTCACATCACCCAAACCCTCAGGTGACTCATATGCACACTGTCGTTGTTATATGCCCTCGAGTCAACTGTGACCGATAGTGACCATATGCAGAACAGCCCTGAACTCTGCCTCTCCCCAGCCAGTCTCACTGTGTCTCCCATCTACCCTCACTACCCCAGTTACAGTGTCAATCCATCTCATCTCCTATACTGTATCTCTACCCTTCCAAGCATGATGTCCTTCTCCAAGGACTGGTCCCTCCTGGCCCCATGCGCAAAGTATGTGAGACAGTGCTTCAAAATCCTTGCCTCCAAGGAGAAATGTGGTTTTACCCACTCCAGAACAGGCATGCTTGTTCTCTTGGCAAGCTGAAATTGTTAACAATCTCAATCTCGTCTCCATCTATCATGGTGATGTCAATTGGCCCAGTGGTGAGGATCTTTGTTTTCTTGATGTTGAGCTTCAAGCCGTAAAGACTACAGTCCTTCACCTTTTGCTGCAAATGTTTCAGGTCCTCCTCAGTTTCAGCAAGCCAAGTTGTGTCATCTGTATAACACAGATTATTGATGAGTCTTCCTCCAATTCTGATGTCATTGAAAAGGATGCATACTGATGCACATTGAAGCTTACGAAACTCAATCATAGCCATCAAGACAAAACTGGCTCATTTACTGCTAGCAGGCTGTAAATCACATGAAGAGATCGACAATCTTTCACCTCCAAAGCGGCTGGTGGATTAAAACCAAGGAGGCGCTGCCTTTGGGTTGGCAGTACAACTCCCTATAGACAATACAACAAGAGCCCAAAGCTTGTGAGGCATTTCTTTAAAAGGACCTACTCTCTCTACCTTTCACCATTTCTAAGGTGCACTCACACACACACTTACCCAAAGATGTCTCTCCAGTTCCAAAATGTCAAATTAAAAGATGTAGATTATCATCTAATACTGGCTTTTGCCTTCAAAGGGAACTCACAAACTCTGCGGTATTTCAATTAACTAAAAAAAAGAAAAAAAATCCCACTTACCTGTCGAACTCTTGCTATTGGTTCATTGTTAGCAGGACAATAGGTTGTAATCACCTTAAAACAAACAAATGAGCATTGTATGTAGACTCTATTATCATCTCCACATTGAGGGATTATCAGATAGGGAGAATAAATGTAAGGGGGGTGGGGAGGACTGAGATAGTTTGTGAACTTGGAACTTTCAAGCTAACTTGGGTTACATATAAACCATTCCAAAAAGGTTGTATCTCCCTCCTGTGAGATTTACTGCCTCTGAAAACCTTCTGGAAGGTCAGCTATCAGTCAGTTCCAACTTGGCACACAACAACAACAAAGGCTGTAGCTTTCCCTTTTGACCTAAACATTCTGAACTGCCTTTAATCAAAGCCCAAGTTTACCAACCAGGTACTAAGTATTCAATCAAAGCTTCAATGTAATCAGTTCTTTCTTCCTTTTTTCATTAACAACAAGCCAGACTGGTGAGTTTTATTCATCCTACTTTTCGTTTCTCTACCCACACTCTGATCATAAGGTTATTAGGCAATATGTAAAAAGCTAGTGTCCTCACTAACAGACAATTAAGTGGGAAAATCAAGTAATAAAAAGACCTTCAAGAGAGCCTTTTCAGAAGATAACAATGATTAGCTGCTATAGGAAAAACAAGAAGGAACTGGGATTGCACTGGGGGATTGGAAGATAATTAAAAACTACCTGCTTCCGGCCATCAGCCAGTATTTCTTTTCCTTAACAGGTTCATTATGTAACATTCATTAAGGTTATACAGTATAGTATCGTCTCACAAAAGTTTCTTTTTCATGTTTTTTTTTTTTTCTAACAAAATGTGCCTGGTACTATCCTGACCGGTCCATGTTACTAAGTAACATTTTATTGGGCAATTCCAGGGTGCATTCATGGTGTTAGGCTCTCAGCATTACAAAAAAAAAAGATGCCAACAACTCTGTCAGGCAGCTCAAAGCCCAATAAAAACATGAGAAAATTTTAGCAAGTCCGAGCTTGCAAACCCCACAGGATTCCAGGAACTCCAGGAGACAGCATACAACTACACTGCAGAACGTTATCTGTAGTGCATTTCACATCTGAACAGCCCCAGCGAAGCAGCTCAAAAGGACAATCAGTCCCACTGTCAAGTTTTGTTAAGTTTCCAGCTACTGATCCCAGGACTCTCCCTCTCTCTGCCTTGAAGTTTAAAGTGTGCATGTAACTTTAGCCCCTAGCAGCTCCTAAAACCACATCGACTCGCCCATTAAACACACAAGAACCTAAAATCTAAGTTTCTTTTTTAAAAGAATCCTGCAGAAGACGATTTTTCTCGTGGAGCTCTGAAAACTCCAAACAGCACAGCTGCTCGCAGCACGGCGGGGCGCTCGGGCTGCGCAGTGCCTGGCGGGCCTCCTGGGGGAAAGCCCGGGCCGCTGAGATTTGCAGGAGGGTGCGCCTACCTCTCCCCGGCCTCCCCAGCTTCCGTTGTACACGCCTTCGTTTTCCTCGCGGAGCCCCAGCTCCTTGAGCCAAGCATACTGGGGCTGATTGATCAGCAGCGTGGACATGAAGGCGGCAGGCCTGCTCCAAGGTCCAGAGAGCCTGCTCCTCTTTGCAACGTGTAGACTGCAAGCGAACGGGAAGCGCCACATACCGAGGGCCGGATCAGAGGTGTGCCCCCCGCCCCGCTAGCGGCTGAAATAGCGCCCCGCCCTCCGCCCGGCGGAGCCCATTGGCGCTCGGGCCGCCCCGCCCCCGGGAGCACACCCCCTTCTGCGAACACAGAGCCTTGGTCTTCGCCTCCCGGCTCCTAGCCTTCCCGGATCTGGAACAATGGAAGTTCCTCCGGCGGGAAGAAGTGAGAGGGATACTGCCATCTGGTGAAGCGCGCGTGAAACCGCAGCACCGGCTAGGAATTTTCTTTCCGCTCTAAATTGTAATGTGCATGCACGTCAATCACATGGCGAACTTGGTAGAACGCAGGTTCTGTTTCATTCAGTCCATCTGATCTGGGATCTGAGAAACTGCATTTGCTATCAGCTCCCCATAACAGTGATACCACTAGTCAGTGTAGTAGTGGAGACTTGGAGTTCCAAGGTAAACTGTTGGAGCCCACCAGCTGCACCATGGAACAAAGATGAGGCAATTGGCATCTGTAAAGCCTAGGCAAGTTCTACTCAGTCCTATATATAGCCTCTTTGCTTTCACAAGTGAGAGTTACGCCGGCCAGTTTATGGAACTCGGGAGACTCCCTGGCACAATAACAACTCTGTCCTATCAGGTCGGTAGGTGTTAGAATCAAGTCAATGACAATGGGTTTGTTTGGGGTTTGTTGTTTTAATGTACAGAGAAGCAGTCAGGTCTTTCTCCCTCAGAACAAATGAATGATTTTGCATTTTCAATTAGCAACCAAGTATTTAACAATTGTTGGTGTTGGTGTTGTGTACCATAGAGTCAGAATGAACCCATAGCGGGTTTTCATAGACAGTTAATTGCGCAGGAGTAGCTGGTAGCCCAGAATCTCGTGCCTTTGGGATTGCAGCGCAGCTCCTGGCACTAAATATTCTGCCTGCGAATATTTTTACTTTTATAAGTGAAGTGAAGATGGTGTTGATTTTTTTGGCCTCCAATCCTATCTGCAATATCCTTTTCATCCACACTTACCATCCTCCATCTCATTACCACAGTAACTGAATCTGCTTTATCTCAGGAACATGCTAATATCTCAATCTGCATTATTTGAGCGTGAATTAAAAATATACACACAATCTCAAGTAAACTAAATTGATAAGTAGGTGCTCTAGTGACTTGCAGCTTATTTTTCCAAATCATTTCTCACTACCTGCCTTGTGGCATTTTACAATGCAACCAGTTATTTCCTGTTTCTGTATTTTTTTCCCCCTCTGGCTGTATCTTTGGTTTTTGCTTGTTCTCTTCACCTGTAAAACTCTTCCATCTCTGCATTCTCACTCAAGCTTTATTTATTCCACACATACAGTACAAATGATTTCCACAAATACTGACTTGTATCAAGCAAGACCACAGCCTGAATCAGATGCATCTTAGTCCTCAAACTGACATCATTAGTACTGAATAACTTGCAGAAGTCCCCAACTGTAGACTTTCCCAGTGCTATATATCTCCTGATTCCTGACCACTGGTGCCAAGAACATTGACTGTTGATTCAAGCAAGATTAAATCATTGGCAGCTTCAATCCTTTCTTTATCATAATTTTGTCTGTTGGGCCTGTAGTGGGGACCTTTCTGATCTTCTGCAGCAAGGATTTCATATCATTTTCACTTCCCATAAGAAAAGTTCTGTCAGCTGCAAAATGCAGGTTGCTGATGAGTCTTCCTCCAATTCCAAAGCCAGATATTTTTTCCATAGAGTCTGGCTTCACAAATTATTTGCTCAACATACAGACTGAATAAGTATAGAGAAAAGAGAAAAGATGTAACCCTGATGCACACCTTTTCTGATTTTTTTAAAAAAAAATTTTATTATTTTTTGTGTGTACCATCAAATCAGATCAGACTGGTACAGGAGGAGATTGCCCCTCCTTCTCCAACAGAGCATCTGGAGGATCCTTTCTGATTTTAAACCGTTCAGTGTTCCCTTGCTCCATTCGGACAACAGCTTCTTGGTCTAGGTGTAGATTCTGTATGAGCACAATTAAGTGTTCAGGGATTCCCATTCTTCTCAATGGTAGCCATAATTCATTATTATCTACACATTTAAATGTCTTTGCATAGTCAATAAAACACAAATAGACATTTTTCTGGTATTCTCCACTTTTAGCCAAGGTCCATCTGACATCAGCAATGATATCCCTGGTGTTATGGCCTCTGATAAAACCAGCTTGAATTTCTGGTAGCTTGTTAAAAAACAACCTTGAGGTTTGGGGTTTCTAAAATTGACAATAAAAATTTTAACAGTCATTTCATCAAAGAAGATATTCAAATGGCAGCTAAACATTATTGTGGGACATTGAGTTGCATAGAAATTGCCACAATAACTTCCTTGGGGAATTTGTTGAAACTCTGCTCTTTGGAATTTGTAAATTCACCCTTAAGTCTGCCGGGGAAAGCTGCCAATGGAGAGGTGTCTCACCACAGGCACCCCACTACAAAGACACCCAAAGTCAGGATTAGGCAAACTGGAGTTCATCCTCAGTTCCACAATAGTTTAACTGCAATCTCACTCAGAGTCAGAATTGTCAAGATAAGAAACTGAGCCAGATAAGCTAAATCCAGGTCAGAAACTAAATGTATAAAAAAAATTCTTTTGCAGTATTTCATTCATATTTCAAAAACCTATATACATTCTTTCTATATAATCTAGAAATTTATAATAAGGATGTAATATGCAAATTTTTCAAGCATCAAATGACAATCCAGTTAGAATTTATTTTTGTGTATACTGTGAGGTAAGAGTCAAGTTCATGCTATGGTTAACATTTTGCTAGGTTTGATTTGTCTATTTATAACTCTACTATATATTCATACATCTCTATTCTAAGGATCCCTAGGGGTGTACTGTGTTAAATGCTGACATGCCAGCTGATAGGTTGGTGGTCCAAATCTACCAGCCATTGTGGCAGAAATATGAGGCAGTCTCTCCCATTAAGATTTAAAGCCTTAGGGATCTAATGGGGACATTAGTTGTAGGTGGTTCTATAGGGACACTAAGGATGACAGTGAAGTTCTTCAAGGATCTTTGATGGAGCAGTGGTTAAGTGTTCAGATGCAAACCAAAAGGTAGGTCTTCAAACTTACCAACTGCTTAGTAGGAGAAAGTTGTAGCAGTGGGCTTCGGTAAAGAATTACTGGCTTAGAAACTCTATGGAGCAGTTAGTTCTACCCTGTCCTAGAAGTCACTCTGAGTTATAGTTGACTCAGCAGATATATCTCTCAATTTGTTTAATTTTCAGTTGCAAAGGCATGAGAAAAGATTGCCAGCACAATTTGACCCTGAATAATTCTGCGAGTACATCACTACTATATATGTAGTAAAATGCACAGTTTTGTTGTTTTTTCAATTTGAATGATCTTTAATTTTTTCATTTTTTAAAATTAATTTTAATGAAAGTTTACAGAGACTTAGGGTTTCCAGTCATTCATTGTTGCACTTTTTTCCCTTCTCACCCCTTCCTCCCAATTCACTCTTGTCCTTGAAAAAAAAACCAAAAACTCTTTCATTGTTATGCAATCCCCCCCCCAAGTCTACTCGATACATATAGAACACTTTAGGGTAAGACAGAATATTAAGAAACATACACTATAAGCTTTATAACAAAAATTAAAAATGAATAGGCTAGCTACTATCTAGTTTGAAACTATTTGCATCATTTCACTAAATGGGGGCACCAGTAAGCTGTAGGGTGTTTTGGGGATGGGGGTTCACCCATGTACATTGTGTTTTATACAATCTTTCACTTGCATTGTCATACTGTCATTCATATATATTGCATCTTCTATAATTAATTACTATTGATCTATGCCTATTATTACCTTGTATTTTCAAGTCTCCATTGAATCTTTCCTATTCCTTCAGCCCCCATATGTCCACTGAACTCTGCTATCTTAATGATTTCTACCTTTCCCCTTTTTCTGCCCCCTTTTCCTTTCCCCTTCTCCTTTTGAACATTTGTACACATCTTATCAGTTATCCTTCCATTTTCACAATAATGGTCTTATGTAATATTTGCCCTCATGAAACTGAGTTATTTCACTCAGCATTAAGCTCTCTAGCATCTCCCATATTATATTTTATTTTTCAAAATTGTTGTTCCTTAGTAAAATGCACAAACTTTAAGTGTACCTTTGATGAGTTCTGATTTCCGACATCTGTGTAATGTAAAAGCCTAACACAATACAAAACATTATAATCATACCATAAATTCCTTTGTGATTCTTCCTAGTAAATTCCCATCTCATCTTCCACCATTGATTCAATTTCAAATATGGATTTTAAATACTATATAACAAACTGTGGCTGACTCTGAGAATAATGAAAATTCCAGAACACTTGATTGTGCTTATGCAAAACCTATATTTGGGCCAGGAGGCAGTTGTCAGAACAGAGCAAAGGAACACTGCATGGTTCAAAACTGGGAAGGGTGTATGCATGTATACCAGGAATGTTCTATCTCCATACCTTTTCAAGTTATATGCAGAACAGATTATCTGGGAGGCTGGGCTGTATGAAAAATGTAGCAGCATCAGGATAGGAAGAAGACTCATGAACAATCTGCATTATGCAGCAGACACAACCCTGCTTGCTGAAACTGAGGAAGACCAGAAGTCCTTGCTGAAGAAGGTCAAGGACTGCAGCCCTCAAAATGGATTGAGGCTCAATATCAAGAAAACAAAGATTCTTATTACTGGGCTGACTGGCAGCATCAGGATGGATGGTGAAGAGAATGAGATTGTAAACAGTGTTCGTTTGCTTGACTCCACAATCAACACTCTTGGAACCAGCAGCATATTGCATCGAGAAAGTCTGCTGTCAGAAACCTCTCCAAGGGACTGAAGAGCAATGATGTCAGTCTGGAGACTAAGGTATGCCTGCTACAGGTCATGGTCTTTGAAATTACTCACTATATGCGTCAAAGAGTTGCACAATGACTAGGGATGATAGAAGGAGAATTGATGCCTTT